AACCCATTTCCTTTTTCATGAAATAGAAACAATGTGAGGTGGCCTGCATTGTCTTGTTGGGGTAAGAACCAAATGATAAAAAGGATGATGTGACCATGTGTTAGAAACAACTCACTAAATCCAGGTCTCTATGAGAAACCAGGTTTTAGCATCAGATGTCTCCCCTTTCCAACCCATAAATTATGTTCTTCTAAGCCCAGAATACAATTAATGGATTGCAGCAGATGGTCATATAAAATATGTATAGAATAGGATACAAAACGTTGTTAACATTTAAAATTGTTTTTACTGCCATGGCTGGTGTGGCTCAATGGATTGGGCACCAGCCTGTGAACCAAAGGGTCACTCGCTCAATTCCTGGTCAGGGCACATGCCTGGGCCAGGGACAGTAGGGGACATGTGAGAGGCAACCGATCAAGATGTATCTCTACCTCTATTTCTCCTTCCCTTCCCCTCTCCCTACAAATAAATGAATAAAGTCTTTTTTTTAATTTTTAAAAAATCATTTTTACTGATAGAAAGCAAGTCAGTTTCAAATGCTAACCAATTCAAACAGCAGAAACTCCAAATATGTAGAACAAAAACCAGAAAAATTGGGCCTTCAATTCCATTTGACTATAACACAGAAAGATGCGTATTAGTTCAGACTCTACATTTGGCACATAGGTTTACCCGGGCCTACCTAGGTGTATCCTGTTCTTGGGGCTGTCAAGAATAGGATAGGGTGGGGCTTTGGCATCATCTGGTTTCATTCTGTGCTGCTGCCCCGTCCTTATCAACTCCTGGCCCACCGCTCCAGGGGCCATCAGCCTCCCTCCTGGCCCCAAGAGCCATCCACAGCTGCATTTATTTGTTCTAACAAAGTACCACAGACTGGATAGCTTAAACGGCAGAAATGTGTTGTCTCATGGTTCTGGAGGCTAGAAGTCCAAGATTCAAGTGTCAGCAGGTTTGGTTTCTGCTAAGGCCTCTCTCCTTGGCTTGCAGATTGCTGCTCTCTCACTGTGTCCTCACGTGGCCTGTCCTCTGTATCCAGATCTCCTCTTATGATACCAGTCAGATTAGATTAGGACCTACCCTAACAGCCTCACTTTAACTTAATTACCTCTTTAAAGGACCTATCTTAGTCATAGTTCGAGGTATGGGCTTTAGGGCTTCAACACAATGAATTTGGGGGAACACAGTTAAGCCCACAACAATAGCCCTCAAAGTTCCTCTGATTTGATTGCTTTCCCTCTCCACAGGAGGTCAGATTCTGGCTGTGGTAGAAGATTTTCTTCCTCCCTTGAGGGACCTTCTCTTCCAGTTGTGCCCTCTACTCAACAGCCCTATGGGGACTTCATGGCTCAGCCAGTTATGGGTATTTCATATTCCATCCAGTGTCCACTCCCGAGGGATTTGGCTTTCTCGTGTTCTTCCTGTCTAGCATCTTTGAGCTCTCCTTTTTCCAGCCTTCACACTCTTCTCTTTCACCTTGGAAGAAACCTTAGCTTGGCATTCCTAGTCTGTCACCCCATTTCTCTTTGTCCCTCTCACCTCTGGAATTCTTCATGGATTAGTTGACTCCCTACCTGTTTCCTTGAGAATCTCCTCTGGAGTGACTTCTGACACCCCTGCCCCACTGCACCTGCCCTCTCCAGCACCACCCATCACTTGGTGCTGGTCATACCTAAAGCCCACTTCCCAGTGCCCATTCTTGTCCACCTTTGGTTACAGCGACTGTCCTCTGTCTGCCTCTCGGAGCCTTCCACAGCCCCTTCTCATCTTCCACTGTATTCTTTGCCACAAAGAACTGACCCATCTTCACAGTTTCCATTATAAATTGCATTTTTGATCCTGAAATCTTTCACTTAGAGTCTCTACCAACCTTTCTGTGATCTCTGAATTCTGATCCATGCTTTCGCCTAATACAAATTAAATTCTTTCATTTACCACATTCACTGGGACCAAACCAAACTCATCTTTCACTCCCAAATTCCATAATCCATCAATATAATTTTCCCCATTTATCCAAGCAAGAATTCTCTAAGGAATCTTTGTGTCTCCATCTTGTTTTGCTCTTAATTTTTTTAAATTTTTTCTTTTGTCTTATTTATATTTTCCTTTCTGCTGCCTTTACCAAAGCTGGACCTAGATGATCGGTTCTTTCCAAGGGTATGGCAGTAGCCTCCTAAGGCGTATTCTCTTCCCCCAGAAATAGTAGGGGTCTCCTGGTGCCCTCCAGCCAGTCAGACTGCTGCTTGTGTGAGGACTCTGATCACTGAGGACAAAGACCTAACTCTGAGACTTGGCTTTGACCAGCTCTGTCCAGCAGAACTTTCTGTGATGATGGCAGTGTTCTGCATCTGCACAATATGATAGCCACTAACCGCATGTGACTGAGGGACCAGATTTTTAATTTTCTGTAAATTGAATTGTCATATTGTCTTCACACCACTGCTTTCTAATCCCAGCCCTGTGCTGTGGCCAACCTCCACCAAATACCCTGGTTCTCAACTCTGAGCCCCTCCCTGTTCCTGAGCTATGGGGTGAGCTCCTTCCCCTTCCCTAGTTCAGATCTTCTCTAGTTCTCAGATCTACCCTGTGTCCTGCCTCTTAGCCCTGCCTCCCCATCTTCTTATCCCACTTGGGATGTTCTTTCTCCTTCATTGGAACACCCATGTTGTGTTGGCTGGATAAGTTCATTTTTTAAATTCTCTATTTAACTTTTACTTTGAAATAATTTTAGACTTAAAGGAAAGAGGCAAAAATAATACAAATAAATCTTGTATACCCTTCTCTCAGATTCTTCAAATATCATTTTACCATGTTTGCTTTATTATATTTTCTCTCTCCCTTTCTTTTTCCATCTCTCTTTCCCTCTACCTCTCCAGACACACACACACACACACACACACACACACACACACACACACACACATTTTATGAGCAGTTTGAAAGTAAGTTGCATATACCTTATCTTCTGCCCCTAAATTCTTCAGTGTATATTTCCTAAAAATACAGACAATCTTGTAAAGGCACAATTTGGGGATCAAAACATACAATTAACATTGACACAATGCCATCTATCTTCTAATTTATTGGACTTCATCAAAAATTTTCCAGTTTTCCTATAAATGTCCTTTCTAGCAAAAGAAAAAGACCTTGTGTCTTGACATTTAAGCTCTTGAGGCTGATTGCTACATCTGTTTGGTTTTCTCCTCAGTGCCCAGGCTAGTAGTCTGTACCAATTGGCATTTTCCTGGCACATTGTAGGCCCTTTGACGAGTTGAATGCATAGGTTAATGAGGGGGACAAACCAGGGTGGACCTGATGGAAGCAGGCCTTACCCTGCGCTCAACCACATACCTGGTTGTCAGCAGCTCTGTGCTCTCAGGCTGCTTCTGTCAGCATCAAGTGCTTAGACAGTCCTCTTGGGTCTCTCAGAGGGGTAGCACCACTCTTCCCATTTTACTAATGCCCAGCTGATAGTCCACAGGGCTAGCTGACTTACCTGTGGTCACAGAGCAACTCCATGTCCAAGCCAGGACATAGCACTGCCTCTCTGTAATCTGCAGAGAGGCAAAACTCTGTGGGTGAAGAATTGTTAACATAATCCCACTCATTCACTCAATAAATAGTTCCTGAGTGTCTACTCTTTGTCAAGCACATTAGGTATACAGCTTATACTTTAGGGGAGGCAAAGGGCAAACAATAAATAAATAAGTAAATAAATAGTTTGTTACATGGTGCTCAGTGCCATGGGGGAAAATAAGGTGGGGTAAGCATGATATGGAGTGCTGGGCGTGAAGGGTTGATATTTGATATAGAGTAGTTAGGGAAAACCTCATTGGTTTAGTAACTTGTCCCCATTTTTGTGTTAAAGTATAATTTATGTACAGTGAAATTCACCCATTCTAGTGCACAGTGCCATGAACCTTGACAAACACATAAAGTCACATAACTACTGCCACAATTAAATATGGTTCTATCACCTCAAAACATGTTCTTGTGCCTCTTAGTGGCCAACCTCTTCCCCCACCCACCTCTGGTAAACACGAATTTATTCTGTGTCCCTGTAGTTTTGCCTAGAATTATATAGTACGTAGCCTTTGAGTCTGGGTTCTCTTAGCAGAAGAGACGAATCACTGATGAGATTCATCCATGTGATGTATCTGTAGTTTGTTTCTTTTTACTGGTGAGTAGTATTTAATTGTATAAAGGTACCACAGTTCATCCATTCTGCCGTTGAGGATATTTGGAGAACTTGTAGTTTTGGGCAATTATAAGTAAAACCACTACAAACATTCATATTCAGGTATTTGTCTGCATGGAGATTTTCATTTCATTTGAATAGAAAGGTTAGATGGCTTTTGAGTAAAGACCTGAAGAAATATGAAAACAACCATGAAGATAGCTGAGGATCTTTTTGCATATTTACCATTTTGTTATTTAGACAAATAAATAGGTTTGTGCTACAAAACTGATCTGTTTGGGTCATTTTTTTTCTTAATGTGAGTTGTTTGGTGGTAGGAATGGAGGAGACCATTGGTTAGTTCATTCATTCATTCATCCATTCAACAAAGATTGAAAAAAGTGGAAGCCACCAGTCCAGTCTGTGACCCAAAGGAAGCCTGAAACCCTTGGATCCACACCAAAGGCTAATTTTAGTTGGTTTATCTGACATAATTTCCTTTCTGAGTTTCCTGAAAGGTAGGGTGAGAGAATAGTTAGCAAGTTTGGGGTTATCAACATTGAAATGGACAATGGAGCCTTAAGCATTTTTGAGTTTTTCTCTCAATGGAAGTTTCAGGGATGACCCCCAGAGGCCTCACCAAAAACTGACATTCATTCAATCCAGAGGTTGTCTGTGTGGGACTGCAAGATGTCCAGAAGGACATATGCGAGTGCGGGCTCTATCCAGATAAAAGGCCAATAGGCCAGACTGTATTCTCCTAGGATTCAGGAGCTTTGTGAGAAAACAGAACTGACAAAATAACCTGTGAGCTTCTTTGTTTCAGGTGATGCAACTGTGAAAAAGAAACCTGCCCCGAAGACACCTCTGAAAGCAGGTAATTGGTCAAAGCTACATGTGCGAACAAGGGAGTCATCTGCCATGAAGAATTTTTTCCTTTGCCCTGGTAGACACATCCCCCTTCCCTCATACATGCTCTGCATTATTCAGGCTGAACTGTCCACAGGAGCCTCTGCACACCTTGATCTCCAGCCTCTTTCACTACTTGGTTTTTCTCCTGCTTCCTCTGTAAGGACAGTGTTATACACCACTAGTGACTCTCCTGTCTCTTCTACAAATTCTGCCTAACCTCTCCCTAAGGAGGTGATCCACTTCGTGCTGTTTCAGTGCTCTGCTCTATTCGTCTTTGTTGTATGGAACCTTGTCTGTTTTCCACTGAAAGACATTTGGGGCATGAACCACATTAAGCCTCTCAACCAGGGTGACCTGGAGGTTAAAAGGCAAGGTGCTGTTTAATTAATAATGGAGTTAGGATGTAGATTCAAAAAATTAGGGTAAGACACAAATTCTAGAGCAACCAACACATGGAGAATTATGCCATGTAAATTGTGTGGGCGACTGCTGAGGAAATCAGAATAAAGAGATGATCAACCTGAGCAAGTCCATCAGCTCAGACGTTCTGAAGCAGTGATCACTGCCCTCAGTTTTAGGAGGTTCCGGAAGGTGAGAGAGGAACAACAGACCAGTGTGGTCAACAGTGTCAAATGAGACCAGAATGTCTTACTTTCCCACTTGTCCTCTCCAGCCATGCCCCCTCAGATCATTCAGTTTCCTGAGGACCAGAAGGTGCGTGCAGGAGAGTCCGTGGAGCTGTTTGGTAAAGTGACAGGCACCCAGCCCATCACCTGCACCTGGATGAAGTTCCGAAAGCAGGTCAGTAAAAGAGGGGAGCAGCCAAGAACAACCCACACAGCTTCTAGGCTAGAAGGGGAGTGAAATGCTGTAATGGAGACAGCATCACCCTTCATTGCAGGGGCTGCAGAACAGGAGAGTCCCCACCCTCTCAGTACCCACCCGTCAAATCTGAATTCTTAACATCACCTCTTCTTTTGAATCTACTAGTAATACCTGCTTTATAGACTAGTTATATAATCGAGAAAAGTATGAAGGAAGAAATAGAAACCACCCTTGGTTCCTGCCTGATTTGATATCTCAGTCTAGAATTCTACTCAGACTCAGGAAAATGGAACCACTAACCTAAAAGACCCCATAAGTGTTCTGTGATTTCATGCCAGCCCAATGAACCCAATCTGTGGCAACAGCTTAAACTTACCACATGCTGGAGGGACAAAAGTGAATCTGAGCATTTGGATAGATGAATTGTACATTAAATAGAATTTTGTCTTGCTGGTCCAGAGTGAAGCTACCATTTATAATCATGGTCCTATGGGAAAATGTTTGAAATTCCAAACAACCAGCTTTTAAAGGCACTTGGAGGTCCCATATTGGTAGTGTGCGCCCATGTGCCTGATCAGCAGAGGCCCTGGGACAGTGGGCTGGCACTGGATTGGAGACTCTACAATAGGGGTGAAGATTTCTTCTGAGTCCTCTGTTGCTCAGTTTCCAAACATTCAAGTTGTCCTGAGGCCCAGAAATAAGAGGCTAGTATCAGGAAGGGAAGGAAGTTTGGTCTCAAAGAATGAAAAAGAGAAACACTGGTCTTTAGCATCCCAAAGCATGTTAGCTTTGGCTGGGTGATGTCTGGACCCGTGTTGTCTGAAATAAAGTGGAATCTCACCCCTTTTCAGAGACATTTAGCCAAGTGTCAGCTCTGTCTCTTTCTGCAGTGATGGAAATGTTCTGTATCTGTTATCCAATGTGTAGCCACTAACTAACTATATGTGTCTATTAAGCACTTGAACTGTGACTAGTGTAACTGAGGGACTGAATTTTAAATTTTAAGTAATTAAAAGTTATTGTAATAGCTTTGTTGAGATATGATTAACACATCATGAAATTCACTCTTTTAAACCCACTTTTCTAAATTGGTTTTTAGTATACTCACAAGGTTGTGCAATCGTAACTATTATCTAATTTCAGGATATTATCATCAGCCCCCGAAAAACCCCAGACCTATTAGCAGTCATTCCTTCCCTTCCCCTAATCCCTGGCAACATTAACCCATTTTCTGTCTCTGTGGATTTGCCTATTGTAGGCATTTCATATAAATGAAATCCTATATGTTTTCTCTTGTGCCTGGCTCTTTTCACTTAGCATAATGTTTTCAGGGCTTACTCATATTGTAGCATAGATCAGTACTTCATTCTTTTTTATGGCCAAATAATATTTCATTGTTTGGATATGCCACATTTGTTTACCCATTCATTAGTTGATGGTCATTTGGGTTGTTTCTACTTAATTAAAATTTAAATAGCCATGTGTGACTAGTGACTATGGTTTCAACAGCATAGAATGGGTCAGAACCCGTAAGGCTGGGCTTTATAAGCTGCCTTTGCTCAGAGGTATTCTCCCACTATTCCATCCCAGTGTGGCGGAGGAAGACTAGAATGCTCCTGAACTCTCATCTAGAGCAGCAACTGCAGAGTTCCTTCCCCGAAACTCTGCTCAGCACCCCCATGCCTGCTTCAGATCTGGGCCCCTCAGAAAGGCCTGGCTCAGGATGTAATAGAGAAGTGGTTTCAGGAGGAAGCCCAGAGTCCAGACAAGGTCAATGCCACACAGTTCCTGCAGCGGCATCCCTTTGGGTGTGGGGGTGGGACTCAGTTCCCCCTTCCTTTCCTGGCCCACGTCTCCAGCAGCTGCCCACTCTCTGCCTGCAGATCCAGGAGAGCGAGCACATCAAGGTGGAGAACAGCGAGGGTGGCAGCAAGCTCACCATCCTGGCCGCACGCCAGGAGCACTGTGGCTGCTACACACTGCTGGTGGAGAACAAGCTGGGCAGCCGGCAGGCCCAGGTCAACCTGACTGTGGTCGGTGAGTCTGGGAACTTCCAGGTTGGCCTGGAAGTGGGGGGATAAGAAAGGTAGAGAGCAGCCAGGCAAGACGCTGGACCTCAGGCCTCATCTCCCAGGGGACCTACTCCTTTTGCACCCATCATCTCTGCCCACAGCCTCCCATACTCCCTCTTCATTTTCTTCTGCCTGAGCTCATGGTGTTACTGTGTTTCATGCATGCTGAGACCTCTAGACCCTACACACACACCCTCACAGTGGTTTCCTCTTCCTCTGAATCCCTTCCAGGCTTCTCTTCCTTTCTATCCTTTGGAGACGGTGAGCTCCTCCAGGTCCTCTCCTGCTGACACCGATAACTGCTTTCCCCTCTCTGGTCTACAACTCTCTCCCCACAGCTCTAGTTCCATGGAAATTTTCACCTTGAATCAATACTGCCTCCCAACCTCACTGCTCCTCTACATCTGATTAGGGGGGCCTTACAGGAAGATCACATCAACCCCTAGACTTAGTCCAGATTCTGACAAGATCCAGGCTCGGCCAAGGCATCAGTGCTGGTCAGCACCCTCTCCCACCCTCTGAGATAGCTTGTCACCCTGCAGGCCTTGGCCTCCAGCTTCTCTGAGAATTAGGAGTCATCAGCATGACCTTGCTCAGCTTCATGGCCCAGCACCTACAGGTATCTCTGCATCTGTTCCTGGGCTGACTTCACCCTTTGACCTGGTGTTTATTGATCTGATCTTTCTTTTGCTTCCTTAGGTCAGGAGTTTTAAATCTGGGAAGCTAGTTTACCAGGGGTCAGAGAACAGATTTCTCATCTATAACAGATGGAGGGAGAGACCCTTTTCTCACTCTTTTTGTCTTTGATGACTTTGGATGCTTATTTCAATAGTTTTTCCCATGGAGTCAGGAACATTGGGTGGGGTGGCAGAGGCAGGGGCGGGATTGGGGGTTTGGTGCTAGTGATCCAATCAGCCTGTCTTTACATTAAGTCCTGTCCCTACAGTATTGATTTGGCCCCACGTCCTCACCCATCAGCAAGATTCGGTTTCCAGTTTTTCTTGGTGTCCTCTCTCATCCACCCCTGCTAGGAGAACTTTGGGGTCCACTCCTTTGAGCTACTTTTCTGTGCTGCGACTCAGCAAGGTCCACTCGGTGCCACACACTCCCCTCCCCCATCGCCACTGCACGAGCTACAGATCTGGCCTTTTATGGTTTAGTTTCTTATTCTCCTCCGCCAGTACAGACAAGGCCATTGGCGTGGCTGCCTGCCAGCTGGCAGGAGCAGCACGTTAAATGCCGTCCTGGGAGGGGAGAGGAATGGAGGGGAACGGGCTTTCTGTCTGCCTCTCCCTCATAGAGCTAAGAATAGAATTGCTCAATAAAATGAGGACTTGCATTGATGCAAACAGCAAAGCCACATTCATTCAGAACCCGTGGATTTAGAATTAGTCCAAAGTAAACCTAGATTAAGCCTAGATTTACCTGTGTGTCTCTAATGACTTCTGTGTATTATCTGATCAGGGTTGATTAACTAGATGTAAAATGTATGAGATGAGACAGGAATTGTTTGGCTTACCCTGGACGGTTTTCAAGCACTTTGAAAGCACCCATTTATAGGCAAGCTAAATAAGGCTGGTTTAACACAACTTCTGCTTGTTAGCAGTAAACTTCTCTTCTTGTATGTTCTTTAAAGTAGCACTTCCTTTTCAGATAGTCTATGACTCCTAATTCGTAAGTGATAATAAAAATTAGCCTTTCCCTCAGTTAGTTTAAAGGAGTCATATTTAGCTGTTTTAAAGGCTTATGATCGTTATATGTTAGAAGGCAGCGCGGGGGTTTGCGAAGCTCAGAGGGCCTCTCCTCTGCCTGAACCTGTAGCCACAACCTCAGCGAGATGGGGGTGCCACTGGGGCGGGAGAGAGCAGGCTGACCCACATGAATTCCCTTCCTGTTACTTGTCCAGCAAGAGAAAATAGGTCACTTTGCATATCTTTAAAGGAGAAAAACAAAGTAGAACAAACCCCAGATACCCAGCAGTCCCCAAATACTATCTGAGCCTGGAGCATGCATCACTTTTAAGGGCCGGAGATTCCCTTTGTAATGCTTGGCTTGGATTTAAGCAAGATGTGTTCTTGCTCTTATTCTACGTGATAGCCTAGAAAATAACTGGCCCCTGGATTGAGGGTCTGAAGATTTTTTGGACTCTCCTTTTGGCTCTGCCACAAGCTAGCTGGCTATTTTTGGTAAGAAAAGTGCCTTATCTTCCCAGGATATCCAGGTGGACGACCCTGGAGCTCTTGCAGGCCCCTGCCATTTTATGAAAGATGCAAGCAACTGCTGAGGTGCCACTGAAGGGAGATCTAGATGGAGTGAGGCACAGACACAGAGCATCTTTGAACACATAGGCAGGTAGAGCCTGTGAGAATGGTCACTCAAGTGAAAGCATTAGCCTTGAGGTCCTCCATTTGCTCAGGAGTGCGAACATCTGCTGAAAAGAAAATCTTGGGGCTGGTTGCCATCAGAGACCTGTCCCTTGGACTCAGCATTTCCCATCCTGTCAATCAGGTCTCCAGGGAGCCATGGGAAAATTCCCAGGAACCCTGGGCTCTGGGCTCTAGACAATGAGCCTGCCTCCCCTTTACCAGGCCATCCCCAGGTCTCCCTTCCAGACCCAGTGTGGCTGTGCCTTTAGCATGGAGGGCAGGCGCACAGACACTCTGTTCTGAGGGTTTTCATCCATGACTAGTCCACCTCTGCATGGGGCTCTGCAAACTGTAAAAAACAGGAAACATCAGGCACAGTTCATGGTCCTGAAGGGGTTGGGGCTTCCAATCTCAGACCACTTCAGAGATGGGTCTTTTATGAACTCCTTAATTCAAATTCCTTGAAAACATTGAAGTTTTGCTTGGAATTAAAACCTCTCTCTCCAAATTTTGCATCTTCCTTTTTACTGCAAGTGGTGACATACGAGAGGTCTGTCCAGAAAGTATCCAGTCATGTGCTATGAAAAATAAGCACATTTATTGAAGATACAAGATACAAGAAACATTGTACATAGGACAATGACTCCTCGGTCCCCTTCAAAGTAGGCACCTTGGGACCTCACACAATTCTTCCAGTCCCCATCAGCTACCCCATCATATTTTCCTGAATCTCATCAACAGTCTAAAATCTCTTCCCTTTCTAAGGTGATTTTAGTTTTGGGAAAAGCCAGAAGGCACAGGACACCAAATTTGGGCTGAAGGGGGGCTGAGTCCCCTGGGTGATTTGATATTTCGCCGACAAACTCTGCTCAAGAGGTGATGCATGAGTGGGCTCATTGTTGTGATGAAGCTGCCAGTCATCAGTTGCCCACAGCTGTGGCCCTCTGAATCATCAGAATAGTTTCCAGAGAGGAATGTTCAAATTTACTGCAAGCATTTGATGCCGGTCTGTTACTCTACTCACTCAGTCATTTGAATGTGTGACAGCCCTCACAGCACACACGCTCACTCAGCGGCGTCTACCGCCCCCACTGGCTGGTACAGTGCAGTCGTCATTGTTCACCCATGTGCATTCCAGTCCACTCTCCTTGGCTGCCAGGTTACAAAGATGTCACATAAACCATTCTTGTTATATTAACAATGGCTGGACTTTCTCCGGATAGACCTTGTATGCCATATGTCAGTTCTCTTTCTTTCAGCCAAAAGACATCTGAACAGGGCTGAGTACAAATAGTACCTCTTCCGCAACATACATTTCTCAAAGTTTTCTCTTCTTCACCAAAGAAGAGGGGAGAAAATCCATCAGTGGAGAGTGCTGCATTCATTATATAAACCCACAGGACTCAATGTGCTCAGTAAGACGTTTTCCAGGAAGTTTTCTTTGGGGGAAGCAATGCATCTGTCTTTCATCCCTCTTTAGGCTTTTTTACTTTTTCAGCTGGGTCTTGAGAGGACTTGATCCACTTGCCTCTAAGAGAGTTTAGAGTAATAAACATCTTAGCTAACACCAGAAGTATTTCTTAAAAGACCAATATATCTTTCAGAACAAACAGTTTCTCTAAGAGGACATATTTAACAACTAGTGAAAGTGGTTCCATCACAGGAGGCCTCCAGAGTGACTGCAGAAAGTGGCTCTGTCACAATCCCAGAATCACTACCAGGCAAGGTCCAGGCTTGGGTTGCAGGGGATGGATGGTTTCCAGGCAGCGCATTCTTGACTGGAATGTAGAAGCAGCAGGGCTTGGGGGCGGGGCAGAGAATGGCTAGGTATATGAATATGTGTATGAATATGTTTACATGCACACATGTAGAATGTTTTCTTCCCCTATGTGTGCAGGGTCATTTTTAGAAACTCTCTCTGGTTTTCCTGCCTTGCTGAGGGGTGGGAGATTACAAGTCAAGTACTTTACTTAAGTTTCCTTACTTGATGCTTGCAAAACCTCCAAAAGGAACCTACATATTAGCACCATGTTTCCAAGTCAAAAAGACAAACAAGTCTTGGAAGTTAAGGAATTCACTAGCATTCACATAGCTTATAAATTCACATAACATGAAGGCATAGTTTTAATTGTTAGTTGGGGGAGCTCTGCACCTCAGACTGCCTCCAGCTGGGGGGTGGTTAATGGTGGGTTACTAAATACCGACATCAGTAGTCAAACCAACCACCTGCAGAAACTAAATCTGACAAATAGGAAAATTTTGTTCAGATGAGCAACTGGCAAAATCAACAAAGCTCAAGAAGCTCATTAAAGTATTGGCTGCCATGATTTGCCTTGACGTTAACAACGTTACTGGTTCTTAGCATTACTGGTCTGAGTGGGAAGGCAGACAGCCAAAGCAACCACTTCTTGTGTTCTCAGCTCGTTTTCTGGCCCTTAGTCAGGGATGGTTGTGATTTGCTGCTGTGGTTTGCTTTTGAACCTTGTCACCTCATTCAGTATATAGTCCCATAAGCATAAAAGAGGTAGGATAAGAGTGACTTTCAATGTATTATAAAGTCAGAAATAAACTCCTACAATGATGATAACAGTAATGGCTATTCAGGCCCACCACTTTTGTAACAACTTCTCATAACCACCTTGTGATCCAAACCCTATTATTATCCACATTTTACAGATGAGAAAACTGAGGCACAGTAACAAATAGTGAATGGGGTCAGAGCTGTGTTCAAACCCAGATCTGTCTCACCTCAGAGCTGACTGTGCTGTACTGCCTCTCAGCAAGGCAGGAGTCTCCCAAGTCCCAAAGAAAGTGGAGTCTGACCCCTAGTTATGTCACAAGTCACTGGCCTAGGACCTGAAGGACACACACACACACACACACACACACACACACACACACACACACACTGAACTCTCTCTCAAAACATTTTTGATGGGAAGCAGTCCACGCCTTCTGGGCAGCTTCCTAGATCTGTTTACACTGAGAAATATGTTTATGACTGGGACAAAGTACAGGAAATCATGACTTGTGACTTGTAGACTGGAAAACTAGCCAAAAAAAAGAAAGAGTTTCTTCTGAGAAATTAGGTGTTTGTAGGGCTTTCTTGTAAATAGGTTTGTGCATAGGTGTGACTGTGTGGATCAGGGAACCAAAGCCAGGACCAGGGATGTCAGCCTGAGCTCTCTAGGCTTCTCCCCAACAGACCTCATTCAAAAACTTTCTTTTTCTGCAATTCTGAAGAGTTGGATGATGTTGTGCTTCTCTATCCCCAGACAAGCCAGACCCCCCAGCCGGCACGCCTTGCGCCTCTGATATCCGGAGCTCTTCATTGACCCTGTCCTGGTACGGCTCCTCGTACGATGGGGGCAGTGCTGTACAGTCCTACAGTGTCGAGATCTGGGACTCTGTGGACAAGACATGGAAGGAACTAGCCACATGCCGCAGCACCTCATTTAACGTCCAGGACCTGCTGCCTGACCGAGACTATAAGTTCCGTGTGCGTGCAATCAATGTGTATGGAACCAGCGAGCCAAGCCAGGAGTCTGAACTCACAGCCGTGGGAGAGAAACCTGAGGGTAAGCTGCCTTCACTTCTTCACTGGCTTGAAATAAATGTGCATAAACTACTTTGTATAGGTAGAAACCTGGACTGAGAGGGGCACAAAGGGACTGGGAAGACACTGATGATGACAGGCAGTCTTTTGGGATCTTGATTTCCAAGGTTGTGATGCTGATCTGTACTTTTAAAAGAAGTACTTACAACCTTTCAAAACCCATTGAACCAGCAATTTTGGCACACTGCCACAGGAGGTTGGTGGTGTGTTCCTCAGGAGCATAGTTTGGAAGGCAGGAGCCCCCTCCTTCTCTTGCACTCAGATTTGCATGTCTACTCAACGTCAGGTTCTTGGAACACAAAGATAAGACAAGGGGCTTAAAATGTAACTAGGGGAACAACTGTATACACAGGTAACTACATCGAGAAGGGCCACATTCTAGTCTAGCAGGATAAACAAATTGCAAAGGAGATACAGCAGAAAGCATGAATAATTTTGCCATGGAGGTTGCCTAGAGGAAGTGATACTCACACTAAGTCTTAGAAAAATGAATGGACTTCTAAGAGACAGGGAAGATAAGAAGAGGCATTTCCCACTGAGGAGGCAGCACGAGAGAAGATACAAAGGGATGGAACTGCAGGGCATTGTGGGAAGCTTGTGTGTGGACAGGGCAGAGTGTGAGGAGGAAGCAATGTTGAAAGGGAGGTTGAGGTCAAATGGTGAAGTTCATCAAAGATCTTCAGTCCAGGGAATGTAAGATTAGATCTGTATTTTTTTAATGCAACCTAATATTTATTTCAAGTAGCATACAAACTCCTGTGATGGACAGAGTCATGTGCTCCTAAGACTTTTAAAATATTGCCTTTTTGGAGAGATTGGATTTTTAAAAATTCTTTTTACTTTGTACAGCATTATAATTTGACATCTGTATACATTACAAAGTGGTCACTACCACAAGTATAGTTTTTTAGAAAGAAAATTAGAGGAAGAGTAGAGCTTTGCTACTCAAAATGTGCTCTAGACTGGCAGTGTTGGGATCCTGGGAGTTTTGTTGGAAATGCAGACTCTCAGCATCCGCTCTCCCCTAGTCTCTTCTGAACCTGCATCATCTGCCCCCTACCCGCCTCCACGGATTTGTGTGCATTTCAAAGGAGAAGGTGGATGTTGGAGTCAGTGAGATCCTAATGGGTTCTCAGTGGTATAGTCCAGGAAAGGGATGGTAAGGGTGTGAACTCAGGAGGTAGAATTGACCATTTTTTATGACTATTTGGGTAGAGACTTGAGGGAAAAAATTAGAAGAGTTTAAGATGAGTCCCAGTTTCTGGCTTGGGTAACTGAACACAAATTCAAGAGTCATTTAGAAGTTTATCCTTATGATTCATGGTGGCTGACATATATGAAGCACTTGCTGTATGCCAACAATATGGTAATTATTTTACATGAATTGTTTCATGCATCCAACTCAATGAAGAAGATATGGTCATAACCTCCATTTCACAGGTGTGGAAAAGAGGTTTAGAGGGTGAAGTTACTAGCTCAAGGTCTTAGAGCTTGTAAATGATGAGCTGAAGCTTGAACTCAAAGCTGACTGACCCAAAGACTGCACTTCTTTGAGAAAACTGATGGAGGAGGTCAGGCTGCCTCCCAGTGACTTGGAAGTTAGATAGCAGAGAGTCCAGGAGAGAGGGGAGCAGGCAGGTTAGAGGAGGGGCAACCAAATTGCATTGTGCACGTTTGTAGCATATTTCTTGAAGAAGACTCCCTACGTCTCAGAAAAGTGACAGGAAAAAGGATAACATTGCACTGAGATGTTCATTAGCTGGCAAAGAAAGCTTTAACCAGGAGAAACTGTAGAATCCCTGATGAATCCCACATGGAGGATCAGAGGCCACCTGAGGTATGGCGAGGAGGCCAGGGCTGCAATGTCCAGGGCTGTAGGGAGGTTCCATGGGGAAGGGTGGCTGGGACCTCTTGACTCTGGGCAGGTGGCCTCTCCCTCCTTCCCTGCGGCCAGCTAACCCCTCTCTGTGGTCCTCAGATCCCTCCTGGGGCCCCTCCTGGCTGGGAGCAGACGAAAGGAAACATTGAACTTGCCTGCAACCCAGAGGAATGGTCAAGGCCACTCAGGGCTTCCAGGCTGGAAGCTGCTCCCACCCCCAGGCCCAGGTGGATTATCAGAAGGGAAGAGGTGGAGGGCAGAACAGTTGGCCAGCATTAGGCCCGAGGGTCAGAGGATAGAGGGCAGGTGGGAGGGTGGGGTAGGAGGTAAGGGTTCCAAGCGAATTCCTCTATGGACTGCTCAGATGCTCATTAGTTATAACCTGGGTAGGTCATTTCTTGTTTCTTTAAAAGGGACATGGCCCTCAGAGAAGTGGAGTGTGCGTGTGTACATGTGTGCATGCGCGTGCGTGTGTATGTGTATGTGTGTGTGTGTGTGTGTGTATGAGAAGGGGAGGGACAGGACAGGTGGATGTGATAGGTGATTCTGTGGAACCAGTGGGGATGGTGGTCATCAAAAGGGCGGTGCCAATTAACCCTCCCCCCACTAAGCCCCGCTCATGTTGGCTGTCACCTTCCCCATGGTGTTCCTGCCTCTGCCTTTACAGCTTTGGTTTCTGCTTCATCCTTACCTCTCAGTTCTACCCCTGCTGTCACCCAGGCTTCACTCTGCACTCACCCACCCAGTGTGTCCTTCCCCCTTTGTTGTTCCAGGCACTGATGGGGGATCCTGGGATACCATGGAGGACAAAGCTCAGGGGCCTCATTATCCCAGAGCTATTTCTCAGACTAGGATCCCTAACTTAACATCTCCTGTCTTCCCAAAACTGAGTAAACAGAGGCCCTCCCTTAGCACAACTGCCCTCTGCCATCCCATCCAGGCCTACATCTATACTCCCACCCTACTGGGATCTAAATCTTAAATCCACTCTGTCCTTGCTCCTGATCCTAATCTGTTCTGTTGCATAATAGTGGTGAGCAAACAGCTGTGATAAAGGCTTCTTGCAGAGTTGGGACTTCTTGCAACCCTGAGGGCAGTTAGAGATGGAGAACCTGAAAGGCCCGAGGGCCAGAGACCAGCAGCACACCCTGTACTGCTCACCCCATTCTAGGCTACAGCTATGCTGGCCCGCAGAGGCCCTCTCTGGTGATGGGGTGCCCTCTAGTGACCAATGGACAGAAAATAGCCCTCAACCTCCAAGTGACTGATCTCAGGCCAGGACTGTCCTTGTGAGCCTCTTGAGAGCTCATCTGTCCTTTCTCAAACATCTCCCCAGGGCAGTGTAGCTCATCTGTCTGCAGGACCATTGTCCAGATAGTCTTCCCACTTAGCTCCTGGATTTCATTGCTACTTCTGAGTAGATTTTAAAAATTTTTTTATTAAGTCCTGCCTACTGCAGTTTAGCTCCTTCCACAGTGGAGAGATGGAAACAGAGTGGTCACCTCTCATTACTACAACCCTTCATGCTTGAAGAGCTTGGCTAATTGAACTGTTGTCTTTCCCCAGCTCCTCTTCTGCTCCTCCCCTGTAGCCATTCCCCCAAATAGAATGGTGGCAGGACGAAAAGGAAAAGGAGGAAGGCAACCGTCTCAGCCCTGGTCTGAGTGTCACACAGACGGAAGATTGCAGTGTTAACAGTGAGCCAGAAAGAGAGGCATGAGTTCCCTGAGAATGACCTAGGTCCCCATAATTAAAGTGTCAGAAAGCATTCTGCATCTCGATTGCTCAGGAGAGGTGCAGGAGACGAGGGGCAGGTGGACTGTTTGTGAATGAGGGCAGGAAGGCTGACTCTTCGGTTCATAGTTGGTGTCTGTGTGATTGGGAGAGGCTGATCCTACAACTGTATGCCCCACTCAGGGATGACTGGGAGATGCCTCCAGGTCATCAGAAAGCCCCCCGAGGCTCACAGCACTGCTACTACTCCTTTGCTAAGAAGGTACAGATGGGTCCTCTGAGAGATGCCAGGCCAAAAAGGCCTGTTTTCTCTCTTTTTCTCTCTCAGCTTGTTGCTCATTCTACACCAGCACATGTGCACAGGAACAAAAAGACAAGGGATGCCTCAGCGGGCCACACCCCTGTCTCACATAGGCGTCAGGACAATGGGTCTCCCTAACAGTGAAATGTTGTTATTATTTTTGTGTCTAAGGCCCAGTCCAGTGACTGGCATCCACAGGTGCTCAAAGAATGATTACTGAATTGATTTGAATCTCTTGCTGCCCTTAAAGTCCTATTTGAAATCACCACTGTTGAACCTACTTATTGTTCTTATGATACCTCTTGCGATATAAGTTCCATATGCCTAGCCTTTCTCTTATGTGAGGTATAACACTAATTGTTCTCTCAAGTTATAGTATTCACTGGTTGATAAAAGTCTGTAACCCCAATTTCACCCTTGGCCATTGTGATTTTTTTTTTTCAGTCACTTCTGCTTTAAACTTCTTTCCCAAGCAGAGAGACCTCATCTTTTCTGATTGTCCTCACATGGTGGCTCTTCCATTCAATGGCCCTCCCTACCTCCTCCCGTTCCATCTTGACTTTCTAAGTGCCAGCAGCCAAAGTTCCAGAAGCAGAAGATCCCAGGCTCTGCCAGTGGCAGAGGAGCAACACCTGTTTGTGGCCAGTGCATATGTCCCCCAGGACAGTGTCCTGCTGCCCATGGCAGCAGGTTAAGGAAGTGGACTCTCATGCTTGGATTTTAACGTAGGGTTCATCGCCCCGCAAAAGTTGAATGATGGCATTCTCCCTGAACACATGACTCCATTACTGTCTTCCAGGTGTTTTGCTTTTGGGTGCATCCTGCTCATCTCTGAATTTGACAGTGTGACTCTCAACTCTCAAATGGGTGATTTAGGAGATTTGATCAGTTAGGCTCTCATCCTGGCAATATCTGTGAAACCCCTCCACTAATCTGAGAGTCTTGTCTATCTTTTCCTTTTAAATCTTTCATGGCATTTTCCTTTCTGGGAAAAAATATCCCTCCTAATCCTGCTCATGTTTAGTTTTTTAAAACTATATTCCATCAATAGCATTTTAAGAACAAATCATAGCCTCTCTCACTCCAGGTCACATGGTTATAAACTCCCTTAAATTTCTGTTTCACAGCAAGGGGCACTTATTTTGTATAAGGAACTGTGTTACTTTTTTCACATTGTTTGTTTAGATTTCAGTAATTTGTTCTGTCCTCAGCGTAATAGAGAGGTTCATTGTGTATATCTGAGCTGCACCTTCTCCCCTACTCACACCTCCATCACAAACATAGAACTTGCAAAGTGTGCAGAGCTCAGCACATTCACACACACTCCCTCCCGGCTGGGAAGTATCTGACCGGCAACCTTCTGCCCTGTCTGCTCTTTCTTCCTCCTAGGATATCATCCACGGGCTGTATGCTTCTTTTCCTCGCCTTGCTCTGCAAGAAGCTTCAGCAAATCACACCCTTTCTCCAAGTCTTAGTCACACATGTGTGCACACACACATCTGCGCCTTTTAATTCCTTGTACTCCCTCTCTAACTTCTCTCAAGCCTTTGTCTGTCTCCCCAGGAACCTCCCTTGGCTCCATCTGTCAGCCAGAACAGGGCCCACGTTACGGCTGAGGGACACAAAGCACATTACAAAACATGCTGTCTACAGCTAGCCAGGAACCCCAGAAATCACCTAAAAATATAACTGCTTCCTTTTACAGATGAGGAAATGAAGGGAGATCCAGAAAGGGAAAGACACTTAGCCAACATCAAGAAGCCAAAGTCACCCTATAGGCACACACTTGTGCCAAGGCAAAGGAAAGCCTGGAATTCTGATGTGTTCTGCTGGACACCTGCTTGTCTCCTCACATTCCCTCATTTACTCCTGACATGTCCACGTTACAACCAGCCTGGGCTGCTCCCGTCCCTCCTTGCCCTACCTCCCTCATGCCTGTTGGTTTCATTGTGTGGCCTTGCCCACCTCCTCATTGTGTTCTCTCATTTCCTTGAACTCAGGGACTACTCCTTTTTAAAACAATTGTTCTGGCTTTATAATTGCCCCATGTTGTGTCACCTTCTTCCACTGTGTACTGTGATGCCGCATACTTAACTATATAATACTTATCATGGATATTTCAAGTAAATGTGTTTTTCCCTCTCGAACTAAGTTGTAAGTTCCAAGAAAGAAGGAGATATTATACCTCTGTGTGTTTTGTTTTGTATACCCACAACAAATGGCCAGATACTTCGTACGTGGCTGGAGTTCTGTAAAAAAACATTCAGTAAATGGATAAATGGGTTTGACAGGAGTAGCAATCATAAGCAGCTGACTTTCGAGCCAGAGCAGAAAGGGACTGTCACTATTGTGTATAGGTTCTGAAAGTCAGAGGGACTAGCAGAGATGTGAAGAAGGGAGTGTCTATGGGACCAGGAGGGTAGAGGGGAAGGGAGGGAGGTGGGTGCTGGCGGGTGGGGGCTGGTGGGTTGAGGAGGCCAGTATCTGCCCATGTGCCTATGGCCCTGTTGTGGCACTAACTTATGGACCGCATGATAATGCCCAGAACTCTGGGCTTGGTGGTCTTGCGCCTGGGAAGTCTGAGGCCTGATAGGCCCCCAGCAGGCCGGCTCTCAGTCGGTCTTCAGCACTAATCATCCAAGTCCTCTCTGCCCCTTCTGTCTCCCCCCAGAGCCGAAGGATGAAGTGGAGGTGTCAGATGACGGTGAGTGCTGGCCACCTGTCTTCCAGGCTGGTGGGCTCCAGGGTGGGAGGGGGTGAGCAAGGGGTCTGATGGCTCACACCCACCCCAAACCCCACCCTGCAGATGAGAAGGAGCCTGAAGTTGAATACCGGACGGTGACAGTCAATACGGAACAAAAAGTGTCTGACTTCTACGACATCGAAGAGAGACTAGGATCGTAAGTGGCGCGGAAAGCACCCTTTGGGCCCCCAGCGTGAGTTGGCATAGATCCCACAGTTGAATTCCATGCCTTGTCTTCCTGTTCTCTCCTGGGTTTTGCTAACCCCCCAGGCTGATAACCCTGCAGAATCAGGAGGGATTGACCCTCTCAGCACTCTCTGGAAGCGTCACCCACCCTGGGCTCTTGCAGGAGCTGCTTGTGTGGTTCTACACTGGCCCAACTCTGTGAAAGGCTTGGGCAAGTCCTCCCTGGACTGGGTCGGGATAGGACTGTCTTTAGGATCCCACCATCTGATCCACAAAAGGCAGTCAAGCCTGATGAGTGCTCATTTCTGCAATTCTCGCTGTCGTTCTCCAGTGAAATGCACAGTTGCCCATCATGGCTCACTTTATGAGCTTGGTGCACACTCTTTACTCTGCATCCTCCTTGGGGTATGGACCCCAACCCTGAGCACTCATCACGGCCAAGCTGTCCCGTCCCGCAGCGGCACCCCGGGCTCTCTCCCACTGCCACTATTCCTGGAGGAGTACGGGAGGTGGAAGAAAAGGGAATGGGGCTCAGCTTTTATTCTCAGCCTCATAACAGTGCACACCAGGAGCCTGCCCATCAGCAGAAGCTGGGTCAGGACTGCCACAGCCCCCGTCCCACAGTGGGCAGCAGGCTGTCCTGGGCTGTCCCCAGGGGACAGTACTGAAGAGGGGCGTAGAAGGAAGGTAGCCTCTTGGGGAAGACTTTCTCAACCCGACTTCATGGGTCCCTCTGTGGAGCAGGAGAGAGAAGCCCATCAGCTGAGCCTGAGGCCCCAGCAGGGTGGTGACAATCCTGAAAGGGCAGCAAGCCCGGCCAGGGCCTGGGTAGGGCTGAGGGGCCGGCACAGGCTGAGGCTGACAAGTGATAAAGAGAGAGGAGGTCTGAAGTATGAGAAACGCACTTCATTGTTCCAGAGCAGGACTGGCAAACTTGTTCTATACAGGGCCAAATAATGGATATTTTAGGTTTTATGGGCCATATAGTCTATGTTGCAGCTACTCCTTCACACATTCAAGCACAAAAGCAACCATGGGCAATATGCACACAAATGGGCATATTTCCAATAAAACTTTATATAAACAGGCGGGCCAGGTTTGACCCACAGGCCACAGCCTGCCAACCCCCATTTAGTGGAAAGCGTGGCTAAATTTGCCTTTCTCTCCCCCTTTCATTTGCAGTGGGAAATTTGGACAGGTCTTTCGACTTGTAGAAAAGAAAACTGGAAAAATCTGGGCAGGGAAATTCTTCAAAGCATATTCAGCAAAAGAGAAAGAGAATATTCGTGAGGAGATCAGCATCATGAACTGCCTCCATCACCACAAATTGGTCCAGTGTGTGGATGCCTTCGAAGACAAGGCCAACATTGTCATGGTCCTGGAGATGTGAGTAGCCTGCTGCCCGGCAGCCCAGGAGCCGTGGGCCCGGGAGCCCCCTCGTGAGTCTCCCCCACTGTCCCACCCCGACCCCTCTGCTACAAGCAGGGGTGTGATATGCAAGACTCTCACCAGCCCTTATGGCTAGGTGCTGACCACTCAGAACAGTTCTGTGCGCAGCCCTGGACCTGACCCACTGACCACTGGCCCACCGCAGCCCCTGCTCATTTCTCTAACAAACAGGCAGATCTTTGAGGGCCCCTGTGCCCTTTCCACCCTTACCTCTCTGTGAAAGGGCTCCGTGGTTTCCTTCAAGGGCATTCTGATCTAGAGGTGGCTTTAGAGTAGAAGGGGAGGGACGGAGCAGCTTCCTGACTAGGCTGGAAGCTCAGAACAGAGGGCTGCAGCATTTGCTCCGTCCTCTCGCTGTGCTCTACAGGCTCTGCCCATGCTTGTTTGGACTCTCTTGACTTCTCACTCTCCAAGCAATAGCCCCTTCTGTGCTGGGTGGTACACGGGCAGGGGATGGATCAGATGACATCCAGCCAAAGCTTTCCTGTTCCAGTCTGCCCTCTGGCCCCGTTCCTCCACCTCTCTCACCTCTGAGCTGCGCATGCGCGCGCACACACACACACATACACATGTGGGCAAACACATATGCACATATTTAAAATCACACACACAAATGCACATACTGATGTCAGTAAGCCAGATGTCCTCCACTGTATTTTTTTAAGCATTTATTTTCTTTTTTCTAATTTGACTATTTTTAACCTATGACACTATCACATGAAAAACTATGAGAACACATGCAGTGAAAAACCCCGTTCCCATTCCTGCTTCCATCTACCCTGTTCCTACCCCCCACCCCAACCACCACCACCAGGAACCAATTTTATTGGTTTTGTCTGTATCTCTCCAGGTTCTTTATGAAAATACAAACACGTAGAATACATATATCCATATTTTATCACCTTTTAACCCAAAGGTAGCTTATACTCAGGATTCTATACTTTGCTTCTTTCCATTCAACAATTTATCTTGGAGATAGTCCTGTATCAGCAGCCAGTGAGCTTCCTCATTCTCCCTGCTCCGTTCGACATCATCACATGCATATACCACAGTTTATTTTCTTCCTTTGACAGGAGGGTGGATGGTTTCCAGACTTTGCTTTTACGAGCAAGCAGTTTTTCACTCGTGCCTGTGTACATCTGTAGGGTGAATCCCCAGAAGTGTGGGAGTGCTGGGTCACTGTGCATTGGAAATTTTTGAGAGATATTGTGCAGTTGCATACAGCATCCTTGAATTGCTCCGCCCCGGCTTCAGGGCCTTCAGTCCTTCGGCAGGGATGCTATCACCATCTTCACATTTCTTCCTAGGCAAAGTGAGGCCCTGAGGCCAGGGAGGCAACCCGGAGCTCGAGGTGTCACTCCCTCCCCTCTGTCTGAAAATGTTTTGCTGTGTTCCTTTCGGTTTGTGTTCCTTAGGAAGGCATCGTGTTTAACAGCACAGACTCAAGTCCGATAAACCTCACCTCAGTCCCAACTCTGCCTCCTACCTGTTGTGCGGCCTTGAATAGATTATTCAACTATGCCAACTCTTAGTTTTATTATCTGTAAAAGGAGGATATAAACCACCCTGTGAATAATGTGGGGATTAAAGGGAATAACATGCGGTGGGCACAGTGCTCTATAATTGAGAGTTATTCCTCATAGTATGATGCATTGACTTTTTCTGTATCCTGGTCTTTTTTCCACCGAAAATTATTTTGTGACCATTATAACACCCAAGTAGGTATTGTGGAACAAATCCTACTATTCAGGTTCTATTACTGTTTAGCAGTGATTTTGTAATTATTAAATCCTTCTAGTAGGAGAAGTATTTGGATGAAACTCTCATTTTGTTCTAAAATTCTGGGGAACTGTAAAAGATTCAAAGAAAATCTTTATTCATATCTTAAACTCTGTTTTCAGCCCCAAACTCAGACTTGTGTTTCCACTTCAGAAAAGATTCGGCCATGTCTGTGACCGCGCCCTCGCCACAGCCCTGTGGGCTGCAGCTTCTCACATTTATTCTAAACCAGGTTGCTTGGTCCAGGCAGTGTGGACATGTGGGGACATGTGAATAAATGTCTTATCAAGTTAAACCATGAGCAAGTTCATGAGGGCATGCAGGGACGAGGGTAGGAGGCAGCCCAGCTTGGGTAAGGCCGGGCAGCAGCACCCGTGGGCAGAATACCATACTTAGCTTGGAATCAGCAGTTGGCAAGCTGGATGGAAAATGTTGAGAGAAAATGTAAGAAGGCTTCGGCAGTCTGGGTTTCATCCCTCCACCCCACACCTCCCCCCAAGGACGGGAGCAAGGCTTCCATGCACAGATGCCAGAGGATTCGTCTGCACTTGGGGTAAGAACATGCCCCCTTATAGGAATTCAACCCAAGACAGGGAAGCAGATTCATACTCAATCTGTACTTCCCTTCCAGCTTAAAGAGACTTGGCCTCTAAGAACACAAAGTTTGGAGTTCAGCAGTACAATTTGCTATTCCCCTTGTTTGATGGAGAAACTGGGATTAACAAGACAGTGCCTGGTAACATGGGAGGGAAATATGTATCCTGGCATCCCAGCCCTCAGTTCAGCTGCTTCAGATACAGTGAGAAATCAGAACTGGTGTCTTCAGCCTTTCTGACCTCTAATTACAGGACAAGCCCCCATCACTATAGCAGTGCTGCTCTGAGGCTGGGGTTCTTCCAGGTTTCTGGCCTGGAGTCTGGGCTTGTCCTTTGGGAGTACTTGTGACATTCCGAGTGGTGGTGGGACTTTGAGCACTGGAGCAGATGTGCAGCTTAGGCTGAGTCACCCATGGCCCATCTCACCTCGGTACTACCCCTGGTGAAGTGTGTCAGAGAACACCCAGCTACCTCCTTGAGGCAAAGAGTGAGAGGGCCTGGTGCTCAGTTTCCTGAAGTGCCACTCCTTCTAGCTGCCAGTGAGGGCTGTGAGGTCTACAGTTTGGGGGGGTAAATTTCATCCCTTGGGAGTAACTATCCTTGGTAGTAGGTATGCATTCATTCACTCGCTCACTCACTCACTGTTAATTTATAAGCACCCATCTCTTCTGGCCCAGTCTTGGCCTTGGCATTATCCCACTTCCGTGGGTGGTGGCTTCTTTCCAGACAATACTTTCCACCCATAGTTGAGCGTTTTGAATGGAAACCTATAGAACCATTAACCCTATTTTTGTAAGCCCTTCATCCTAGAAAATGGAACACAGGAATAGTTTTCAAAATATACACATATATTTGAATAGGCTTGAACCTGTCTGAACATCTATTGGATAGGTTACCTCTGGAAATGCAGCAGCGATTACCTCTCTGACTCTGATTTCTACTACTCATTGCCTGAGATGTTCCCAAGGGCACTGCAAATAACAGTTGCTTGCTTTTTCTGAATATCTTAAATTTAAAAGCAAACATTTTTAGGCACCTTGTCTGTGCCAGACATCGCCAGGTATAATTAAGATTCTAGATATGAGCCAGACCTTTTTCAGACGTGTTCACAAACAACTTTAAGGAAAGGTAGACTTGATACAAAAAGTGCAGAGACAAGGCTGAAGAAATCAGGGAAGGAAAGATCATTTCATATGGGACAATTGGGTATGATTTATCAAGAGGATGTGGATTTCAGTTGGCCTCTCGGAGGTGGTAACTGAGTAAGCTAGTGTTTCCCAAACTTCTCTGATCATAAGAATGAGCTGGGGTCCTTATTAAAAACATGGATCTTCAGATCCTTCCCAAGGGGTAGAGCTTGGGAGTCTTGATTTTTAACAGTTTGAAAGCCCCTAGTGGTTCTTTTAAAAATAAATAAATAAGGAGGAGAAGGAGAAGAGGAAGAAAGCGACAGCAGAGGAACATAATTAAAAGAATAAAATGGCAATTAAATACATACCTATCAATAACCACTTAAATGTACATGGCTTAAATGCTCCAATCAAAAGACATAGGGAATGATGTTGTGAATCTAATGCCACTGAATCGTACACTTAAGAATGCTTAAAGTGGAAAATTGCATGCCATATATGTTTTACTACTATAAAAACATTTTTAAAAACTCATTTAAGACTTTTTGATCAAGAGGCTGAAATGTCTCCTGAAAACCAGATGCAGCTGTTTTGAAGCAGTACCTAAGTCTGCCTTTGGATGAAGACTGCAGAGTCCAGGCAGAGTGTCCGGTACACAGCAAGGGCTCCATAGGTATCAGCTGCCACTTTAGCTATAGCCTGTCCTTGCCCCTTCTATGCAGAAGTTGTATTTTCAAATCTTTTTCATTACCCTGAACAGAAACTGTGCCCATTGAATAACTCCCCCTTTCCATCTCTCAGTTGCTCCTGGTGTCCTCTAATCTACTTTCTGTCCATATAAATTTACCTGTTCTAGATATTGCATACATTTAGAATCATCCACTAAAAAAAAAAAAAAAAAGGACATAGGGTGGCTGAATGGATAAAAAAAACAAGACCGATATACATGTTGTCTGCAAGAGACCTACCTCAGAACAAAAGTTATACACAGACTGAAAGTAAAGGGACAGAAAAAGATATTTCATGCAAATGAAAAGGGGTAAAAAAGCTGGAGTAGCAGTACTTATATCTGACAAAGTAGACTTTAAAACCAAGGCTACCGTGAGAGACAAAGAAGGACACATAATGATAAAGGGAACAATCCAACAAGAGTATATAACCCTAGTAAACATTTATACACCCAACATAGGAGCACTTAAATATGTGAAGCAAATCTTGATGGACATGAAGGGAGAGATTGACAGAAATACAGTCATAGTTGGAGATTTTAACACCCCACTGACTTTAATGGATAGATCTTCCAAACAGAAAATTGACAAGGAAACAGAGCCTTCAATGATACACGAGATCACATGGATTTCATTGATATCTTCAGAGCATGTCACCCGAAAGCAGCAGAATATACATTCTTTTCAAGTGCACATTTTTTTAAAAAATGATAATTAATGTTATTGAGCACTTATTATGTGCCAGGCACTCTTCTAAGCACTTCAGTTGAATTAACTCAGTTTTCACAGCAGCCCTGCGAGGTGGTGCTGTTTTTTCTGCCTCTTTGAGGCACAGAGATGTTCAGAATCACCTATGATCTGAAAACAGAAATTCCCATACTTCTCTCTGTATAATGCATTGCTGTGTATAATGAGCTCCCATGTATAGTACGCACCCACGTTTTTGGCCTAAACTTTCAGGAAAAAAATCTTTTGTTTCAACTTTTTAATTCAATTATTTATTCATTTATTTACTTATTTACTTACTTATTTATATTTAGAAACAAACCTGATTATCATATTCCCGGGTATTATTTTGCATATGGATATTGTTATTGCGTTCTAGAGTCACATTTTTAATGCGTAAGAATAAATAAAAGAATTTAAAACATTAATGTAGCTATGGAATTAGTACTACCCATGTATAATGCACATCCTTATTTTTCCCTCAAAAATTTGGGCAAAGTGCGCATTATACATGGCAAAGTACCATAGTTTGACTTGGAGCTTGGGGGAAGAGCAATAACAATGGGGGGCTTGGCGCCACCTGCTGGTCACCCGTGGACCTCCTTCTTGGTTGGTTCTGAAGTTCCATTGCAGCACCCCCTAGCGGCCACCGGCACAGACGATTTCTCCCCCATCTTCCCCGCTCCTGCCTTCCCATCCCTGCTCAGCCAGTCCAGAAGGGCAAATGGCTGTTGTCCTGTGGTGATAGCGGCCAGACTAACAGAGGCTGTGATGGCTGCGTCGCCTGGTGCGCCCCAGTCTGTCTCTCCCTCAGTGGTCACTAACAAGATCCACTTGGCGATAATATGTGTTGAGCACCTACTGTGTGTCAGGCATGATGCTGTACAAAGGTTCCTTCATTCCTAGCAATTCTGTGAGGTAGGAATAGATAAGGAAACTGAGGCTCAGAAAGATGAACTCACCCGAGGTCACACAGCTTGTGAAAGGTAGAGTTCAAACTTGGCTTTTCTCCTCCTTCATGATGGTGTCCCTTAGAAGAGGGAAGGCCCTTGGAAGAGGACTAGCCTAGAATGTAGCCCACCCAGCTTTGTTCAGCCAGTGGACTTATGGGTCATTGTAGAAAGGAGCTTTTCAATGTCTAGATGCTACAAAAGTCACCAAGTTGATGCTTTCAATTTTCTGAGCAATGAACGAGGAAAGTGGGTCGGAGCAGGTAGGACAAGGGAAGAGAGAGGACCCTTGCAACTCAGGAAGCAAAGCCATGAACTTGCACTGAAGGGCAGTATGCCAGCCGGCTGTAGCCTGTGGGGCAGTCCTTAACAGAAGATGCCCTCTATGAGACCCAGAGACACTGTGACCAGGACCAAAAGTCTATCCAAGCAGGAAGGATGTACTATACTTCCAGCCTGGGCAACTGAGCATGCAAGACAAGGTTATCATGGCTGGAAGAAGTAAACTGATACTACAGTTCTAGCCAGAGGGGGCAAATCAATCAGAACTCTAAGTATAATAGGTGACAGCCAATGAATTTGCTCAGGCTCATTATTGAAGATACTTTCCTGTTCCTGTAGTATTATTTTAGGTTTCAAGTCTCCATAACTAAAGAAACGACTGGAGTACAAGAATGATTCCTTATACATCTACAGTCATTTGGGGGATGGAAGCTGCCCAGTGATTACTCTTTTTCTAACGAGATCATGTCTGGATCTCTCAGTTCATGACCACCCCTGAAACTACCCAGCCTAGGTGTTCCCTTAATCCCCCAACAGCTTTGTGGATACAGGCAGGGTCCCCCAAGCAAGAAAGCAGGAGCCCTGGGCTCTCCTCACACAATGGAAGACTGAGACCAGTGTAACGGGGTGGTGGCCTGGGACTCAGGAAGCTGCAGAAAGTGCCCAGCACCCCCACACCATGGCCTTTCCTGCCAGTCTCCCCATGCTGCCCTTGGCCAGACTTCCTGCCAGCCTGGGCCCTGTGATCCTGTGGTCTGACTGCCACCTTCTGTTCCCACAGTGTATCAGGCGGTGAGCTGTTCGAGCGCATCATCGATGAGGACTTTGAGCTGACGGAGCGAGAGTGCATCAAGTACATGAGGCAGATCTCGGAGGGGGTAGAGTACATCCACAAGCAGGGCATCGTCCACCTGGACCTCAAGCCCGAGAACATCATGTGTGTCAACAAGACAGGCACAAGGATCAAGCTCATCGACTTTGGTCTGGCCAGAAGGCTGGGTAAGGCCAATCCACCTCTCCTGTTATCACCCACATGTAGTAGCTGGGGCTGTGGCCATGTCCCACACACTGGGTATTAGAAGGAATTGCACAGTACTGGAGTTAAAATCAGGGAGCGTGGAGATGGCTCAGATTCAAATCCTGCCCCTACCGCTTACTAGTTGTGTGACTCTAAGTCTCAAATTCCTCATCTGTAAAATGAGATAATAGCGGGACCCACCTCAGAGTTGTTAAATGAGTTATTGTAATACAGTAATAAGTGTAGTGCCTTGCACATGGTAAGTAAGCACTATGTAGCAATGTATTGTTGTTGTTGTTACCCCCTTCTATATTTTTTACCATGGTGCCTTCAGCAGCAAAACTCACTTTGGTGGTGGTGCTTCCCCACATTTGCATCCTACCATAGAGTTTCCAGAGCACTTTCACACATGCCTTCTCTCATTTGATTCTGTAGGCAGGGCATATTTTATGAGCCCCAATTTATAGACTAGGAAAACGAGGTCCACAGTAGCTCACCCTGCCTGCATAGCTCTTTGACATCCCAGGAACTGAGGAAACAGCTTCCCCTCTACAGCCCCTGACCACTGCCTTGTCAACAAGGGGCCTGAGGGCTGGCAGGAGCTAGCTTTTCTTTCACTGGCCTGCAAGGAGTTAGTGCCCACCTGGTAAATCTCCCAGGGTGCCCAGACCCAGCTGAGACCATGTAGGTAATAAAGGAAAAAACAAGGGAGTGAATCCTGCCAGGCTCTGATTCCCTGGTGATCAGTGACCCGAGGCTGGGCGAATGCACCTTCTCTGCTCTCTCCTGCTGAAGACATGGTGTGGGGATGGGTGGGGGCCACTGTTGCTGTGCAGGGCCCACCTCCAGGCAGGAACCACTAACAGTTTAAACAAAGAGGGCACAACTGGCCTGGAGAGCTAGCAGTGTCAGAGTCCAAGGAACACCACATGCACGCTCCCTTGGTGAGGAGATATGTGGGAATAGCGGTCCACCAAGGACCAGCGAACTGGGAAGGTTAAAATGCCCCTCCCCCGAAATGCTCTTTCCTGGGTCTGCAGGAAAGAATTCATGTGCAGCAGAGCTTCTGTGCCTGAGAACCATTTAGTGCTTTGTCTTAGAACACTTGTTGTAGACTCTGTAGTTAAAGAAGACAAGATGCAGCACACAGGCCACAGATATGCCACCCCCATGGCTGACAAGTCCTCCAGAAGCTGGTATCTGTGTGATACTTCAGGACATCTCATCCTTTATGGCTCAGAGACACCACCTTGGGGTTAAGGTTTTTCCCAAGCAGCTCCTGGAAAGAGAGATGAGATGCTATACATGGAGAGGTTGTGGAGCAGGAAGAACATGACTCAGGAGTCAGGACACCTGGGTTTAAGTCCTGATCACCACTCTTAACTGGATGGGTAAATCATGCCACTTCTCTGGGCTTCCCTGTCCTCCTCAGGAGCATAGGGGTTATAGCTCCCTCTCAGAGTTGTCGAGAATACTATGATAAAGAAGATAGTCCTTGTAAGCCCTGGCCAGGTAACTTAGTTGGTTAGAGTGTCATCTTGTTACGCCAAGGTTGTGGGTTTGATCCCCTGCCAGAGCACATATAAGAAGCAACCAATACATGCATAAATAAATAGAACAACAAAGTGATGTTTCTCTCTCTTGCTCTCCCTCCCTCTCTCCCTCTCTCTCTTTCACTCCCCCTTCCTCTCTCTTTCTCTAAAAAAAAAAAGGAAATCAGTGAATACAATTTTTTTTTAAATAAAGAAGGTCTTTGTAAACCAGGCAGCAGAATTTATAGCACATAGTGGATGTTAGAGATTGTTATCAATCAAGCACAAGTCACAGCCCCTGCCTGAGGATACTCATGGGGCAGGCAGACCTAGGAAAGGGCATTTGGGGGAGGGGCTTTAACAGCCTCTCCTGCCCCGTCCAACCCCCTGAAGACATTTGAGGTGAGGGTTCAGTTTGTTGGTGTCACTGGTATATCACTGCTCTTGTTTAATGGCGAGGCCAATGTCTGTGCCATTCGCCAACTGAGGGCCGGGTCTTGTCTGTGTCCCTCCTGGGCATACCGATGAGGGTATCCATGTTCTATGGGTGGGCTCCACAGTGTTCTGGCGATTGATCCCCTTCTATCTTGGTTACAGAGAATGCAGGGTCTCTGAAGGTCCTCTTTGGAACCCCGGAGTTTGTGGCACCTGAAGTGATCAACTATGAGCCCATTGGCTATGCAACAGACATGTGGAGCATCGGGGTCATCTGCTACATCCTGTGAGTCCTGCTGGGTACATGGGAGTGGGGTTAGAGAGTCCCATAGGAGGGTCCCCAGGCTGCCCTGATGTTCAAGGGGCCAGAGTGGCTCCTGACGGGGAGCCTGCCCCAGAGTCGGGAGGGTGGCAGGCTCCCATCTAACCCCCTGGCCTGCTCTTCTTGTGCTCCCATACGTTCAGCAGCTCACTTCACACTCCGCCGGGAGCATCTAGCTCCACACACCAGGATCTGCCTTCCAAGCCCCTCACCATCCCTGATGTTGGCCAGCCCGGGCCTCTAATCAGGGGTTGGAAATGTAGCTGGTACCATGTAATTTACCTTCACTAGTTGGGTAGGCATATAGAGGAGGGAGAGAGCCCAGGTGCACATCTCGTGCGGGCGTTATCATTGCCTTTAGAGGACAGCACCCCATCCTCACTGCAAAGGGACTCCAACAACCAGCCTCATCTCTGAGTCTCCTATATGGACTGTTTAACAAGCACTTTTGATGACAGAGACTTCAATGAGGCCAACAGACAACAGAAAGCCATCACAATTATTAGAATTGGCAAGTCAGGTGGAAATTCAAAGCCATGTCAGTTAACAATGCTAGAGAAAAAGAGGGGAGGTCGGTAATCTGGACCAGTGCTTCACAAACAGTAATAAACAAGAATCACCTAGGCCTCTTTTTAGGTTGCTGGGTCTGGTTCAGAAGGTCTGGCGTACCTGAGAATGCACATTTCTAGCAGGGTCCAGGTTGCTGGTGGTGCCGATCCAAGGACTGCACTCGGAGTGCCAGGCCCTAAGAGACACCCTTTTGGCGGGATCCTGCTGGTTTAATCTCTGAAGCCCCAAACTGCAGAAATTCGCTGGCCTCAGAGGCAGCCCCTGAAAGCATGTGGCAACACACAGTTATAGGATGGTGACCCAGAAGGTGTAGCCGTGCATGCATTCATTTTGAAAAAATACTTTTTGTTGTTAAAGCAAAAGGAAAAATTAAGCGTGTTCATTGAAAATAGGAGGAGGACCTCTAAGAACGCCTTCTTAGACCCCTGGGGTGTCCAAACTCAGTGTGATAACAGGCTCTAGGTGACTCTGCTACACAGCCAGTTTCAGGAACCCCTGTTACAAAAGCTTTAGCCAAAGTGGAGTGATTTTTTTTGTGCAATGTGGCTTTTCCACATGCTTGGGAGTGTTACTCCCACTGTGGCCTGTTAGCACAGCCTGCCTCAGTTGAACCTGTATCACAGATTCTATACCCCAGAGAGTCATCTCTTCCCTACCTGATGTTTCCCCCACCGCCATCGCTTCCCCCAGAGCAGCAGAGCAGCAGCCCCCTGGCCAGCAGGACATTTCCCTGCCCCACCCTACTCCAGTCCCACTCCAGGAAAAAAGGAAACTGATGATTAAAGAAAATTATATCTGATTCTGGAGTCCGAGCTCCTTTGTAAGTAAGGAATGGCAGGGCAGTGGGGCCTAGTCTGCCCCTTCTAGGGCTGCCCCAGGCTGGACGATGCTCACACTGGATCTTTGGTCCTGGGAGAGACCCCTGAATTTTGAGAAACAGTCTTTAGTCAGCTTATTCTGTTCAGACTCAGCTGTCCTGGGTTCTGCTTGGTCCCTGAGTCCTTCTGCAGCCATGAAGATACTTGCCTCGCTGTTTCCATTGGTTTTCCCACTACTGTGGAATTGAGATCATCTGCAGCCACGGATTTTCACATGGGCTCTTCTTTAATCCTTAGAACAAACCTGGGAGCAGGTCATGGCAGGGATTCGATCTTCATTTGGCATGGCTATGACCAGGGCCAGAGAATCCCACATGGCTTTCCACTCTCCACAGTCCTAGAGGGTGACCAGCCACCCCAGTTTACCCGGGATTAACAAGTTTCCCAGGATACAGGACAATTAGTGCTAAAGTGAGGACAGTCCTGGGCAAACTAGGGCCTTTGGTCTCCCTGCTGGTCTGGGAGAGAGCAGTGACTACACTGCTCAGTAAATTTTCACAGTGAACACATCATGGGACCTATACCAAGTTCATAAACCAAACACTATCAGGGCCCCGAGTCTTCCTAGTGCCCCTCTCAGTTACTGTCCCCCAAGATGTAACTATAATCCTCATGTCTAACGTCACGCATTAGTTTTGCCTACTCTTGAATTTGCCATAAACAAAATCATACAGAAAGACACGCCTGGCTTCTTTTGCTCAACACCGATCATGAGGCCCGTTCATATCATTGTGTGCAGTTGCAGTCTGGTCATTCCCAGCGCTGTCCACTGTGAGAACATCATCCCACTTATGTATCCATTCCACGTGATGAGCTTTTGAATAGATTCCAGTTGGGGGTGTTGCAAGTATTCTGGAACATGTGTGTTAGTAAATATGTTTATGCATTTCTGTTGGATATATATAATCTAGAACAAGAATTACTAAGTCATCAGAGCATTTTATTTTAAAGTGCAAACTCTTTTAACTGTAGGAACATAGTAATTGGATAATAAGCTCTATTGTTTACCAGATTATTTTTAAAGCTAAGGCAAAGAAATAAGGAAGAGCTTATGAAATGGAGAGAAAATGATTTCGATGAGTAGGGCACCAGCCCGAAGTTGTTTGGGCAGGGGCTTGGGGGAGGGGAGAGAGGTGTGTGTGGCGGGAACACGGGTCAGCCCCGCACAGCTCTGGCAGCCTCCCCGGGGTCCTGGCTCCAGCAGCCATCCCTGTGGGCCACTCTGCCCTCTAGGTCTTTTTCCCACTGGCTCTCACAGCAGGGATTGGCAGCTACCCTCCTGAGCTAGGGCTCTCAGCAGAGCACATAGTGCTGAAAACTGCTTCCTTTCAATCTCTGCTATGCAGAAATCTGGAGGCGCTGCTGTAGCTCCAGAAGGGGTTCTCTGGTGCCCCTGTGCACCCACTGTTCCCCTCTTTGGAACTTGATTGTCTGACAGTCCCTTTCAGGTCCACCTTCTGCATTTGTATCAGAGAACCTCCTCCCCACCCATCCCTCTCCTTTCTGGGGCCAGTGAGAGGTGGAGAGGCCAGAGAGTTGGGGATGTTTCTTGAGCGTCTCTCAGGCCGCCGGTGCTGCCTTTGTGGATTTCTCTGGCTGTGTTGGAGGAACTCCTTCTCAAAGCCCTCGGGGAGGTCAGGGCAGAGCCTGTCCTGACCCTGGGGTCCTGGCCCCACTGCCTGCCTGGGTTTTCCAGGCAAAGTGAAGATGCAGCAGGCAGGGCCATGGGGCCTCCTACCCTTTCACCCCTGATTCTGAAGATAGACAGTAGATTGTGTGAATCTCCTGGAGACTCCCTTGGTGTGAGAAATACCCATTTGGTTTCTAGCAGGAAAGAGGAGAGAGGACAGAAGGGCTCTAGACCACATTTCAACGTGGAAGAAAGTCTGAGCCCCACCTTTTTTCTGACCTCCTTCCCTCGCCTACCTCCCCCTCTTCTATTTCCTGAGGACCTGGTGTTCCCTCACTGCCATGGGGACACCAAAATCCTCCTCTGTGCCCTGCCCTCAGCCTACTCTGGAATTCCTTTGCTCTCTCTCCTCCCCCAAACCAAGGTGAAGAGCTATTACTGCTCTGCTTCTTCCTCCCTACCATCCTCCTGACTGGGTGCAGCAACACACTTCCCTTTTCTACTCATTTGTTGGGCACCCACCATAGTCCAGAGAGCCAGGGTCATCTCCCACCCAGTCTACCTTCTGGGAACAGCAGCCGTGAACAGGGAAGTCCCAGTGCCCAAGTATCAGGTGCCTGCTCAGACTTGGGTTTGAATGCAGCGCTCCTCAGGGGGTTCCAGTAGCCCCACTCAGGGCTGCTCCGTCCTCTCCTCCAGTGAGCCAGACACGGTTTCTCATTCCAGCCCTGGTGACCTTCCAGGATCCCATGCTCACACCCAGCCCAGCCACCACCTGCAGGTTTTGCTGTCCAGGTTCTTGGCTTGTGGTTAGCGTGACTAAACCCTGGCTCTCTACTTCCTAGGCCAATGCACAATATGATACCCAGCTCTTCCTGTGGGACCTGCCCACCCTCTCACATCTCCCACCACACCTCAGTACTTGACGGCTAAAATAGGATCAAAGGCAAACTCTTCCTAAGCGGTCAGTAGTTCTGCTAGCAGATGTGTGGTCTGGCCATTGATGCAGCGAGGCCACCTCTTTGCCGCTTGTGTAGTCCAAGAAGCATTTCTACACCCTCCTCTCTCCTGCCATTTTGCCCCATGAGCAGAACAGGCTGCCGAATCAGATTCCCTGGACGAAGTTTTGCTGCAGTGAGGTATTAAGAATTAAGAAATAAGAACACGCTGTAGTCATGACCTTTGTGACTCATCAGCACAAAGACTAATATTTAACCATTAAAAATGAACATGAAGACTCTGTATACACTGGTGAAAAACTGTGTCAAGCGAAGAAAAAGACCATCCAAGAACTTGTCTGCACTGATTACAATTTTGTGAAGGCCAGATAAATCCACTTATTATGTTGAGGAGGAAAATACTTTCCTCTCCCCTTTTAGGTTTCGTAGTGGGGGACTGCCAATAAAACTGACAAAAGACACATAAACAAGAGAAAGAAAAACAGATTTAATTATGTATATATGCATAAGAGATAAGGAATGGTGACTCAAGGAGGCATATAGAATTTGAAGCTTATATACCATTTTAACAAAGAGTGATAAATTGCAAAGACATAGCTAGACTGAAGAAAAGGGGCTTTATATTTCTGGAGGGGTCAAGTTATGAGAAGGTCCTAGGAAATGTATGGTAAATAAGGGTTGTTTAGTAAGTTTGTTACGCATGTAAGAGTCTTCTCCTCTACAAATGGAAATTTATGTCACCTTAACAAAGAGAAATTTATGTCGTGCTTGTATTTATTTATTTATTTATTTTTCATGTCTTTAAATTTATTAACATCTAATACTTTTTTACATTTTTTTGTTTATGCTGTTACAGTTGTTCCTGCTTTTTCTCCCTTTCTCCACTTCCTCCCAGCCCCAACACTCCACCCTCCCCAAGCCAGTCCC